GCCAGTTTTTCATCAGTAGGCATCACGGAGACGGTTATCAACTTTATGGTGGGATTTGGATCTTGAAAAGAAGCTCTAAACCCCTTAAAGTTACTTTTTGTCCCGGTGCTATTCTGTCGCTTCTTTTGAATATTCAGAAAAATCGATACGTATCGATCGGTCATGGTTCTACAGGTGCTTGCGGAAAACTGTAATTACCGTAATGACCAATACCATAATTACTGAAAGCCGCTTTTACCTAGAGGATTTAGCTTCCCTCCCCTGATGCTCCTTCACATCTAGGCTTAGGCAAAAGCCGAGCACATTGGCGTAACTGCAATCCCAGTTTTGCACAACGTGTCCAATAAGTGCCCCCCCCCCGCCTTTGGCCGACTTGCGCACAAGAAGTCGCTTATATCTCTGTAAATCTCACAGTAACATTCTTTGCGACGAACGAGTCACGCCCAAGAAGTTTTCGATTTGGCTTGGTTCAGTGGCTGGTTCTTTCCCATGAGGAAGGAATTAGCCGAGGAAGGGTCAGCGTGCGCTGATTTTTGTCCTTAGGAGTGCTCGGAATTCGAAGGAGTTCAGATCATCGACCAGCCGTTCCACCCGTTCCTAGTTTGCCCGTTCGTTCATGTGTTCGGTGATGAGAAGCCGACGGCGACGGCGGCGTGTCGCCCGCCGCCTGCCACCGCGCCCGGTTGCCTGCTCTCCTCGCCGTTCGACTCGCCGCATTGTCTATTCAGCAATATAATGCCCCGTGTGCTCTAGGTTTGTGTGTAGACGACGGTGAACGCTCGTGGTACGAACGGCTACGCCAAAGATCGCGCTGGCCAATCGTCGTCGGCTGGCGGATGGCTTTGAGAGGTGGATTTTGGTACTTGGAAATGCTGGGCAGCGGGGTGGAAAGAATGTGGAAAAGATGAGTTCATGAGAGCGCCTGGTTCGGTTTCATGAAAGGTTCCCAAACAGATGGCCCAGCAGGTCCACCAGGTCCTCCTGCCCAAAGCTTATCATTCCATGTAACCGGTATTCCCACGCATTTTGCCCTTGAACATTGACCCATTACATCATTCTATCTGCCCAGACATCTTGAAATTACGGTAGTGACCTTTTCTGTTCAAGATCTGCCATGCTGTACTGCGACTGCTGTACTGTTCAGTGTTCAGGCCAAGTCAGATATTGATAGTTTTATGGCTTTTTACGAGAGTGGCGTTAACTTGAACGCGTTCGGGCTACGGTAGTTCTTCAAGGGACCTCATCGGGAGCCTCTGGGAGATTATGGGATCACTCGGATTTGAGTTTTGATCCTCATGGGAAGGTTGGCTTGTCTTTAAGCGGCCCAGACGTCTATGATGTAAGCGTAAGCGGTTTAGGATCATGTTTCTTTCCCATGAGCTTCTCCGATGCGTCCATCGTCTTCACTTCGCCCTCCTCGTTCTTATTGGCGATCTTTGAATTCCCAAATTCAAATGGCTCTGAATAGACGAGTAATCTCCATGAGTAATAGTGGATGTATCATTTTATGAATGAGAGAGCGATTGAAGGAACGGCGGCGACGGCCAGTGGCGTCGGCGACAGCCACGGCCACGGCCAATCGACCAGAGGTCAGCCCGACGGACGGTGGCCGTTCGCCTCGGCCGTCCGAACACTTCACACGCCGACCAGCTGTAGTCGGCATGTGAAAAGAAGTAGAAGTGGCAGCCGCTGAGAACGAGAATGGGTTGAAGCTTCCGGAAAGATTACCGTATACTTGGTGATGGGTTTGAAGAGGGTAATTCGCTCTGGGAAGAGGGTTTGGCTTTGAGAAGGTTCACACATCGGGTTACCTACCCTTGATTCGACCTTCGGGCAAAGCAGTCACCACAGCAGAGCTTCTGAGGAATTCTTTCATCTGAGATCTCATTAAGGACCGCTTAAGGGTTTTGCGTACCAGACGCAAGGTATGGGCACGGAAGGTCTACCAGACGGAAGATCTGGCCGCCCGCCAAGGAGAAGGTCTGCTTTCTTCGCTGGATCTTCTCCTAGCCCAGTTG